ACATGCAGACACGCCCACATAGGAGTACCCGGACATGCAGACACGCCCACATAGGAGTACCCGGCCGTGAAGACTGTTCCCCATGCTACACCATGCTTCAAGACAAAGTTTCATTTATTTGTCATTAGAAATAAATATTTCACAATCTATAATTACATATTGTTTTTGTGATTAATCACTATCTTTAATTATGTTCAATTTGTAACAATGGAAATGCATCCTGAATATGATATTACATTACGATTCATAACAGTAGCAAAATTACAGTTATGAAGTAGAAATGAAAATAATGTTATGGGTGGGGGGTCACCACAACATGAGGAACTGTATGAAAGGGTCGTGGCATGAGGAAGGTGGAGAAGCACCGGGCTAGGAAAATAGATCGTTTGATTTCTTGAGTGTTGTTCCCATGAGTGTTGGTTCCAGATCCAAGTAAAATAGAATCTTTGGGAACATCAATCTTTTCTCTATTTATCATCATGTTGTTTGCTGGTCCAGTTGCAAGGATTTTCATTGTAGTACACTGAGGGTGTAATCTATACTTAAGGCTGCATTATTTGATCTTCAATAAGTGCGTCATCTTTTTCCCTTTCACGAGCAAGGTCATGTCACCTGCACGTTGGAGGTTGTTAGTACATCTCCCTTGGATCCTGACACTGTGTTTGTCTTTTAAAAATCCAGTCTGTTGGGTTACCCTGGCACATACTCCAGATTTTAAATGACTCAGTATCCCCTTGGTCTGGTCCAAAACTACCTCTTGGTCTGAGAACCACTTAAGTGTTCTGGAAGTCCCATTCTTTGCAATGTTATCTATAGTTTGCTGTGATCCAAATAGTCGAAAATCTTTACACCGTCAATAAAACACAAGTAAACATTTTCTGGAAATCTCTGCTTTTAGCCAGGATTGCTCTGATAAGAGCAATGTTATTTCTTCTTCTAAGTCCTCTTCTGAATCTGGCTTAATTTTCTGGAAGCTTCCTGTCTATGCACTGTCGCCATCATTTTGGATTTATTTTCCACAAAATTTTACTTACATGTAATTTTAACAATATTGTTTGCTAATTCTTATTCTGTTGGCCACTTTTCTTTGGAATGGGGAAAAAAACAGGGATCTCTTCTAGTCAGTTGGTTAGGTAGCTGTCTTCCATATTTTAGCACCTCCAGCTGAAATGTGGCTTGAAGCATTTCTATTGCTGTTTGGTTCATTCCTAGGGCCTTGTTTTACACCAATGCCAACGACGCAGCATGGACTTCTTCCTGCAGTACTTTTGTTTCTTGAGAAGACACTGCCTCCAAAACTGGTGAACATGGACCAGTTCTTTTTGGTACAGTGGCGGTGTGTTCATTCGATCTTCTTTTGATGCTTCACATATAGGTTAATACTTGGCAATGGGATTCTTTCAATATTGCAATTCAAGGCTTGAATATTCTTCGGTTATTTCATAATCCCAGTTAAAAATATCTACTTTTAAAAATATCTGGCAGATACTAAAAAATATCTACCAAGAAACTCTAAATGTTCATGGAGATGTTTATCAGAAATTTCCAAATGGCTAAAAGTAAATGATAGTTTTAAATTCTATTTTGTTTTTTTTCAAATTGGATTATGCAACTTGTGGTTCACACCGGCATTGTACATATGATTTATAAGTAAAAAATAAAACCTACTTCTTACCTCTGGTGTTCCACAAAATGTTGTCGTGGTATCAGAAATAGCAATTCCTTCTTTACAAAGCCCAAAATCAGTTAGGACAACATGTCCCTGATAAACACAGGAACAGAAAGATAAAATTGTTAAAAAAAAATACATAATTCAACAACGATTTTAAAAAATCAACAAAAGCCCTTTTTTATTTTGAAACAATTATAATCTCATAAGAACTTGCCAAATAGTATACTGAGAGTTTTGTGTACTCTCACTTCATTCCCTCCAAGCTGGGAAACTGATCCTGGTACAATACTGCTTCCTAAACGTCCAGCCCACTGCGGTTCCCACTGTTTTCCATGTGCATGTATTTACGTGTGAGTGAGTTGTAGGCAATTTCATCTCACCTACTGATTCCCACCACCACAAAGGAGATCCTGCCCCCTCCCCCTTTGGGGAGCTAATCGATTTTTAAAAGATGATACTTACCACGGAATCCAAAAGGATGTTTTCTGGTTTCAAGTCTCTATAAAGTTATAGGAAAGAAACACCAGACTGACTATGAACTTGTATAAAATATTAAAAACACAGTGTTATAAGTAATATTTTAAACGTTACCTGTACACTATTTTGATGGAGTGCAGGTAGCCCAGTGCACTGGCAATTTCAGCAGCATAAAACTTAGCCCTGTGTTCCGGAAAGGACCGTTCTCTTTGTAAGTGAAAAAACAGCTGTAAAACAGGAGACAATAAATGTTCAGACTCATAAAACAAAACAAATACATTCTGCAAATAGTAAAACAAAAACTTCTATTACTTTAAACAGGAGATAAAAATGTCCCAAAGCACCGAACTGGGTCACACAAAGCACTCTTTCTGTGTCTCCGCCTAGCAACCTTCTTTCCAACCACGCGTCTCTGTGTTCTCTGGCTGGCGGCACGCTCCGTTTCTTTCTCAAGCTGCAAGCTGACAGTAACTTCCCCACTCCCGCCAGCTCCAGCACAGCCCGACGACCAACGACCTTGATTTTGCCGTGCACTTATCTCACTGTGCCCTTTCAAAATGTTCTTCTGTTAAAAACCAAACCATTCAAAGGCTGCAAACTTGTGACTGGCAGACAAAGTAAAACATCTAGATGTAATTCATATTTTTGTTTCTCAGGGGGATGACTGCAGGGTTAGGCCTAAATTCTAATGTGGTAGCAACTGGCTGGAGCGGATTTATTTTTTAGAGAAATCCTGGATATCCTGGACAGTCTTGAAGCTGAACTCACTCACACGGCTAACTTTTCACCCAAACAATCTCTCTCATGGTCACTGAGTTCATTCAGACCCATGGTGATCTTATAGGGCACGCGGAGAACGGGACTGTACTTGTGGGTTTCTGAGACTGTAACTCTTTCCAGGAGTAGAGAACCTCATCTTTCTGTCTCAGAGCAGTTGGTGGTTTTGAACTGCTGACCCTGAGGTTAGTAGCCCAACATATAACCACTGTGCCAACAGGGCTCCCAGGCAAACAATGGACAGGTCTATAAGGTGAACACCAACACCAGGGAGGTATGTTTTCCTTAAAACAACCAATCCTATGAGATCAAAAGGGCAGTATGTGTCCAAATACACAGCTCAGAAGGCAGGAGGGGTAAGGAAAGATGGTGGAATAAAAATAGGAAACATGGGTAGAAGTGGAATGAGTGATGTTACATTTTGGGGATGACATGAAGACCATGGTCAAGAACTGTTTAATGGAAAACTGGTTTTCCCTGTTTGTTAACGTTCACCCAATAGTCAAAAAAGGAAAGAAACAAACTGGCTGTTTATGGCAGACCTTGTCCTCCCTTTGCTCAGCCATTAGGAACCACGATGGAAGCAGTTGCAGGGAGCATTTCCAAACCCATTTTACCCCAAAATCTCTATTAGAGGAGCTCTTCTCCTGACTGGCATTGATAGTTCATACATTTTAGAAAAGAACGGGCTGGAGTAACAGTTATATGCAATTATTAAAACAAAATGTTCTAAATTAAAAATGCTTTATTCTAATGTTTCAGTATATTACTCATGCTGCACAGTTTAATGACAAACCCATACAAAAAGTCTGAAGCTTCCTACACACCAAGATTCTTTCATCAGCTTTACCAATGGCACCATTACTTGCTTAATGAAAGAGCTTGTATTATACTTCTTTGCATTTTGAATGTGCTTATCCAGTACCTTGAGTACTTGAACTCTATGACTGCTGAAACATCGGTCTCCTTGACCTTGACACCTGATGAACTAGATGGTGCCTGGCTACCACTATAAACTGCTCTGAAAGGAACCACATTAGAAGATCCTGGATAGAGTGGGCGAAAAATGTGGAACAAAATTCAAAATCATGAAAAAGACTAGGTTACTGGTTGGCTAGAGACTGGTGGGGCACCTGAAATTCACCTCCGCGTGAGAATAATCAACCATTTAAGATCAAAAGGGTGGTTCTTATCCAAGGACAGCGTTCAGAAAGGTTAGGAAAGGAAGGAGCAAGGATGGAAATAGGAAACACATGGAAGAAGTGGGGTAAGTGATGCTATACTGTGGGGTTTGCCATCAAGGAGAAGAAACTAAATAGACATAAGTTGTTGAATGGAAAACCGACCAGTTCTATAAACCCTCAGTCAACTCATAATGATAATAGGGGGGGAAAAAACCCATAACTTGTCCAAAGAACTTCAGCTTTATGTTATATTTACCGGATGTTACCAATATCAGAAAACTCAACATAGAACTCACCTCTCCTCCATTAATAAAATCCAAGATAAAGTAAAGCTTTTCAGCTGTTTGGAAAGAATAATGTAATCCAACTAAAAACGGATGCTTCACATTTTTTAGGAGCACATTACGCTCAGCCATAATATGTTTTTGCTGGAAAAGAAGGCAAAAGATTCAGTCACATACCATAAAGTAATTTCATCAAGTGAGAAAATGGGCTTAAGAATGCACATAGTTAAAATGGTTTAATACCCCAAAAAAAGAATGCTCACAGTTATCTTATTTTACCTCTTTTCTGTTGAGAACAACTTTTTTCTGTAACACTTTGACAGCATAAAATTTTCCATCCAGTTTCCGTTTTGCAAGAAGAACCTGTTAATAAACATTGTGTACAGCATTAGACACCTCAATGTTCTAGATAGAAATAATTAACTTAATAAATAAATAAATTAGTATCTTTTTGTGAGAAAGGTAACATTTTTGCTCTGAAAATTGAAAAACAACTATTTAACTTTATTTCCATAATTCCAATTTTCCATAGTTAAGAAAATATGAAAAAGGAAATAACAACAAAAAAAGACTTGATCATTTGAATAGCCAGGCACATTTCTTTTTCATTTACCGTATTTATATTTTAGATTTTCACTAATGGGACAGTATCTGTACTACTTATGAAAACTGTGTGTGTGCGCACTATGTACGTATCAGAGAAAAGAGTGAGTTCTGAATGCTGAGAAATGCCCTCAGAAAATAATGAGGCTTTCAGCTGCATGCGTTTATTAAAACAGAAACAGAGTCTACTTTTAGGTGATCAAAATGCATCTTTTGAATATTCAGATTTTCTTATAGGCCATGGATTCAGAAGACGTAGGAGAGAAAGAAGTGGCACATGCAGATGAATTGCTATAATGGGCTAGGCTGCATGCAAACACTTTTAAAATATGGCGATGCTAGGTAATTCCAATCAGAAGCCAACAGATTTTTGGGAAATTGACATATGGATTCTAAAAGTTATATAGATATACAAATGGCTAAGAACAGCCTCTTTCAACTATGATTTCATGGGGGGATAGTGAGTCCTGCATGAACATTTTTAAGCCCTCCTGGGTATATTTTAGTGAAAATGAAGTACAACAAAACATAAGACAGTTCAACAATTTCTACATGTGTAATTGCTTAATTTGGAAAAATTATTCCATCACCATGAACATAAACTCAATATTCCTAAAATCTCAAAAAAACTCACCCCTTATATTTTCACACACAACCCTGGGAACCACTCATAACTTCTGGTTTCCAAATATTTGCTTATCACATTGAAGTAAGATCATACCACAGTTGTCCTTCAGAGATTGGACTTATTTTGCTCAGCATAATGATCTCATGGCTCACCTATGTTGTCACATGCACTAGGACATCAATTCTCTTTTGACCGTATATTTTTAATGGACTATTTCTCCTACTAGAGTGTAAGTATCATAAAAAGAACAAACCAGGTCAGTTTTGCACAACATTATCTACTCAGGGACCAGCAAGGTGCTCTGCACTCATAATAGGTACTCAATAACTACTTGTTGAATACATGAATTTTATTTCCAAATTTAAGTAAATGTCTTATCCTCCTAAATAGTCCTAAGTATCTTAACTCTATATTCTGTATAACAAGCCTTATGGTCTCACATTTATAAAGCTTGCATTCCATAAAAACTTATTTACTAAAATGGAGAAATAACTACTCTTACCTTGCCAAAGCTGCCTTTTCCAATAACTTTTAAGAAATCAAAGTCTGTTGGCTTGGCACTGAAACAAAGTAACAATGGAAAGAATTAGCTTATAGAGATCAGAGATGTTAACTTTTTTTTTTTTAGAGATGTTAACTTTTAATCATTTCTTAGTACCTCACTTTATGCTTAATATATTATGAATTTTAGACTGCACATTAGGTTCCCATTTTACAATTTCTACACATATTACTTAGTGACAGTGGTTACACTTTCCACAGTGCATCAACATCTCATTTCCATTCAGGCTGCCCCATTTCCATCATTCTTGTTTACCTGCCCCCTCTGACCTTCCATCTATTTGCTCTCAAATATATTGCTGCTGTTTGCTTTTTAAAGTATCTAACAGGCACACCATGTTCATGCGTGGCAGTTTCTTTTATGAGCCACAGGCTCTTCAGTTGAAAAGTAAACTCCGCGCGTAGTTTCAGTTCAAAGTGAAAAGGTGATTGCTTTAGGGGTTCCTCAGGTCTCTGCTGGCCCAAGAAGTCTGGCCTTTTGAAAGCTTTTAAGTTTTGTTCTATAATGTATACCATTCTATCCAGGATCTCTATGAGAGCCCTAGTTTTGGCAGTCGTTAGAAGTAGCCAGACATTGTCTAGGTTTTTTTTGGCTTCTGGAATAGGTGAGGCCATGGTTTGTGTAGGCAATGGGTCCTGTTGACTGGCTCCTCTTTTGAGTCTGGTTTCCTTCTATGTCTTTTTGTTCCAGATGAGCAGAGACCAATAGTTGTGTAGATTTTCCCTAATATCAGAAAGCGGAGCATTCCTAAGGAATATTTTGTAAGCCAAAATGATGTCAAGAAACAATGACCACTAATGTATATGGCAATCTTTTGAGTGTTCTCAGACCCAGTATCACATAAACTCTAAAATAACACTGACATACACACAGTGTTCAGAGACAAAGCTACGCAGACTTGATGCCGAGATGCAGAGCACAGCTCTGGGGAAAGAGTTGGTGGCACCACTCGCTGACTGGGGTGCGCACTGCCTCTATAACGGCTCACTGCAAACAAAGGCTGGGTGCTGGCTTCGTTTTCTCCCGAAAGGCAAGCAAAACTCCTTTCCAGATTTCTTTTAGTTACTGAAAATAGGTCTAAATGTAGGTTTTCCAAAAGACCAAAATGGCCACTGTGATAAGGTTTTCGGCAACGTGGCTGGGGCTGGATTGTCAGTGGTTTGGCCGCGAGGACCTAGTAATCCCCCACGGGGTGAGTTAGCACAATGTAGTCACTGATGTAATGGGTTCTGCTATGAGCAGCGTTTGGTTGTAAGATCAGGGTGCGGTACCTCACTTTGACTCAGGTCCCAGACACGTTACCATCAACTGAAAGGCAGTGGAGGAGTTCTGCAAAGAAATGGGATGTTACGGTTGATGATACCCCTAACTGAAAGCAAACTTTCCTTCTTGTGCTGCCTGACCAACAGACAGAAACGGAGGCTCCAAACCCGTCAGCAGCCCATTTCTTAGCAAAACTCCTCAAGGAAGCTGTTTAAGCTCATGGTCTACACCTGCTGTCTTCTACTTTAGTTCTCTCTTGAATGCTTCCCTGTCAGGTCCCTGTACTTACTGCAACACTGGAGCTGCCCACGGATCATGCCTACATTATTAAATCCAGTGCTTAGGTCCCAGTCCTCAGTGAACTTACCCTACTGCCACAAGGCTCTCGTCCCTGAAACACTTCCTGTCTGACTTCAGGACCACATACTCCTCGTTTCCTCCCATCTCACTCGTCTTTCTGTCTCCTTTACCAGTCCCTTTATGCCGAGGGCTCCCGGAAGGGGCCCAGGCCCTCGTTCTGGGACAGTCAGTCTGGTGTCCCTATGCTCACTCCAGAAGTGGACAAAAACAGGGCAGGGAAGAAAAGCATCCTGTGACTACAGCCCAATTATTTTGGAATCAATCTAATATGCCTGCCGGGACAGTTAGAAGTTAGGATGACAACACTACATTCTTCCTCTAACCGATGGTCAACACTACGAATCGGTCAGTGCACCGTTTCACACGGAGGCAAGAATTGGCAGTGGAATTCTTTCTCAAACCCAATCACTGCTGGGGCTGTACTCGGGATGACGGCTCTAGTGTATGTCCTGGCTTGTCCTCAGCACTTCTCAGACTGTGTTTCTCAAAAAGTTAAAAAAAGAAAAAAAAGAAATTTCCCTTGTGGTAAAATAAATATGGACTTATGGGGATGACCAGTTAAAGGAAGTTTGATAGCCTTCAATAGGCTAATGTCCATCCTGACTCTTCTGAGACACACTGGCTCAGAGCATCAGTGACAGTGAGGACCAGGAGAAGGTTAATGACGCTGGTACAGATACTTTTTATCACAAAACATCTCACAGGATTAATGGTCCTTTGGGAAATACAATCTACTGATTTTACAAACACACACACACACACACACACACACACACAGAGAGAGAGAGAGAGAAGTGGTGGCATTGGCAAAAAGTAGCAGAATCCAATTAACAACTTGTGGATTCAAAACTCCCTCGGGCTCTACTAAAGTAATGAAAAGCCAGAGGAGTGAATTAGCCAAGCATACGAGTGTACTATATTCACCCTAATTACAGTTTTATTTCTTATGCTGCAGGTTAAATTGGTGTAATTACCGGCATCCACAAAAAATATCTTCCCAGCCTTTAGTTGAAGGCGGTTTGGAGAAAAGCAAACTTACTGAGGATTTCCAGATGGTCCCAGGTTGATGTTCTGTGAGGGAGAGTGTAGCTGTTTGGATGGGAAAAGACAAAACACTAACATTATTAATGGAGCGTCAAAGATTACCTGTCAATGAGCGTTTCTGAAATTATAATTGTCCACAGGTATTTGGTATATTACGATGTTAAAGATGCCTAATATCCTCATTCTTAATCCACTCATAGTGCAGTTGAGAAACCATCGATCAAAGCACAATCATTTTATTACGGTAGGTTCCAGCAGCAGTTTTCAAGAAAACGTAACAGATCAAGCTCGAAGCTGGCAGATGGATAAAGTGAGCTGTGGCCAGTGCTTTGGAAAAGGTGGATATCGAAACCATAATTTAAGAAGAATCATTTTACATTAAAAAAACTGGCTCAAAAACTGTCGCTCACATTTTAAAAGAAACAGCTTCTTAAAGATAGGAGACGATGACCGCCCATGCTGCATTTTCAACGTTAATTTGGTGATTGCTCGTGGTGGTGGTGGTTGCCATCAAAGCTGTTCTGGCTCATGGTGGCTCCATTCAGAAGTACATCACCAGGCTTGCCTTCCCAACGCCTCTAAATGGGTGCAAAGTGCCAACCTTTCAGCTAATAATCAAGAGCTTAACTCTTGGCACCGCCAATTTGTCGTACTGTGTTGGTGTGCACATTGCTGTGCTGCTGGGAACTACACCACCAGTATTTCAAATACCAGCAGGGTCACCCGTGGTAGGCAGGTTTCAGCTGAGCTTCCAGACAAAAACTGGGCAGAAGACAGAGGGGGATTAGTCCTGACTACCGTGAACATTGTCTGATCCCGTGCCGAAAGCTGGGCCCCTCTGGTTGGAAGACATTCTGTAAGGACCGGTGAGGAGCCACCTCCTCGAAGGAGAGCTGACCTTCAACTGGGAGATGGCACAGGAGCAAGCAGGGTTTTGCTCTGCTGCATGTAAGGTCGACAGAGTCAGCGCTGACTCCATAGCACTTAACAGCGCAGCAAAGGCAATGACCGGCCAACCTGAACAAACCCACAGCTATCCAGCCAATTCCTACGCACAGCAGTGCTCCACTCGGCTTCCGAGGGTCTAAACTCTTTTAGAAGCAGACAGCCTGGACTTCAAGTGAAATATAAACAGGACTGGTTTTCATTCTAATTGTACCATATGTGCTGGGGGCAGGTTTTGAGAGAAGCCTTTCTCTTTGCAACAGTTAGACTGAAACTGTAATCCCTGGTACTAATGCAGACGAAAATTATATGCTTTATCTTTTCCTAGTAAAAGATATTTCCTCTCCAATGGGTGTAATAGAGTATTTTTTTTATCTTGTCTTTTTTTTTTTGTAATATAGTATTTAATGTGAGATACAGTATTTGTTATTGTGTGTAAAAAGTGATTAAATTGCATTATGTTCTCGGCGCTAACTTAATTATCTTATATTAACATAGCTTTTACTAATTTATTCTGATCTTCCTCACATTAGTCCAAGTTAACATTTTACTATATTTCTAAAGAGCATACTGTGCACATCTTTTCCTATTTTATAAAGTAATTATAGTAAAGATAAGAATACTGATGTTGGGGTAAAAAATGAAGAGCTGATGCCAAGAGCTTAAGTGCAGAGCAAGTGTTTTGAGAATGATGAGGGTAATGAATGTATAAATGTGCTTTATACAATTGGTGTATGTATGGACTGTGATAAGAGTTGTATGAGTCCCCAATAAGATGATTTTTAAAAAAAAGAGAGAATACTGATGTTTCCTAGAAACTAAGTGTGAACCTGTGGTATTCTGCTTAGAACAAAAATGATGATATAGAATTTTTAGTTTATTCCTCCAGTTAGTCAGATCAAACTTCATTTACAGTGTATAACCTTATATTTTTCAATGAATTGAGAATGTAAAATATTTTTAAATAAGTTGAATATCTACCTTTGAAATTAAATGGCACACCAAGCAATTACGTGGGTTTTATCTGTATGCATTTGTATTTTATTGTTTTTATAAATAAGATAGCTACACTTTCTCCACATTTTTTAACATGTACTTGCAGGAACTAAGTGTGGGCTCTAGTTTCAGATCTTCTAGTTAGTTGTGTGGCCCTATGCAAGCCAGTTTAGATCTCTGCCCTCACTTAGATCAACAGGAGCAATAATCACTTTTTGCTCACCTGCTTTATCTGATAAGTAGACATAAGATTTATATGAAAAAGGTTTGCTGAAGTAACTAAGTAGTCTTATACTTCTTTTCAATATTTGGTTGGCATTTTGACCAAAAGATTGTATATTTTTAGAACTACAAAATTCAGTAGCTATACAAGGTAAATAAAAATAGTAAACTTGGTGTGCTCATTATATAAATTCATGCCAATTTGATCAATAGGATGTAGGGGTAGAGTCTAGCCAGTCAATCAGGTCACAAGAGCACACCCACCAGGAAGATCCTGGGAATTTCCTCTCTCCTTTGTCTTCTCGTAGACAAGCCAGGTGGAGCTATGCTGAGACCTGAGGGAGCCATGCGGTGGAGACCTGTAAAGACAGCCCTGTCTGGCTTCCATTGCCATTGGATCCACTAGAGTTTTCACCTACTGGCCTGTGATCTTCCTGCATCATTGCAAATGTTGTGTGAGTCTGCAGATGAATTTATGGACTAGTATGGGACTTATGGGCTAATATCAGACTTACGGACTTGATTTAGACTAGTTGGGATGTTTTCTCAATAGACAATTGCTCTTTAATATAAAGCTCTCTCTTACATATGAGTTTCTCTGGATTTGTTTCTCTAGTCTACCCGAACTAACATACTTGGTTATGTTCATTAACCCATTACATTAAAAATAATACTAATGATAATAGTAAATTTTCTTTTTTTATATAATAGTAACTTTTCATAAAGTATTCTATTTTATGACTTCTTGCTTATATTAATGTATAGTATTCATTAAAATAATGTACAGTGAAAAAGTTAATGGAAGGAGTTTATCAATTTTCTCCAAATGAGATAAAGAATACAGAAAAAAATTTTTTAAACCAGATGGCCAGAAAACCTGCAATGCCAGTGTAAAAGGGAGACGATGCCAAGGAATCCAGGAAGAAAAAGAATGTTTGAAAACTGACTGTGGTAGCAATTGCACACTTCTGCTTGCTGTGATTGATGTGAATGATATGATGTATTAAACCCCAACTTAAAAAAAAAAGAAAAAGAGAGAAAAGAAAGTCATACATCAAAACAAACAAACAGAAGAAAGAAAGCTCACTGCCAGGAGTGGATTCTGACTCACAGCAACCCTACAGGGCAGGGCAGAATTCCTCCTGTGGGTTTCTGAGACTTCAAATGTTTACAGGAGCAGACAGCCTCATCTTTCTCCCAAGGGGCAACTGGTGGGGTTGAACCACTGACTTTGTGGTTAGCAACCCAATGTGTAGTCCATTACTAGAGACACTAAACTCACTGCCACTGAGTTGAATCTTAATCATGGAGACTCTATAGGGCAGAGTTCAACTGCCTCAGTGGGTTTCTGAGACTATAAATCTTTATGGGAGTAGAAAAGCCTTATCTTTCTCCCCTAGAGACATTAGCCAAGCAAGCAAACAAATTCACTCACTGCCACCAGGTTGATTCCAACTCAGAGTGATCTTATAGGACGGGGCAGAATGGCCCATGGGGGTTTCCAAGACTTCAACTCTTTAGGGGAGTAGAAAGTCTCCACTTTCTCCTGTGGAGCAGCTGGTGGCTTAGAACTTCTGGGGTTTGTCGGACCTCTCATCTAACATTTCAAGGCAGGTGGAAAACCATTATCAGCATCAGTAGCTCAAGACCGATTCCTATGAAGCAGAGGTCAGGTATACCTCACCAGCTGTCCTCCCAGTGGCACTCGCTACTTTGGTGGGCTTGAGAATTCCTTGCAGTGCCCATACAGAGCTCATAGACAGTACTCATGGTTATGAGCTTTACTAGAGAAGTAACAGGATACAATTCAGGGTGGAGGTTATGTTGGGCTGGGTGGTCCAGAGAAACAAAACTAGTACTACTTATATATGTATAAGAAAGACCTTTTTATCAAGAAATACCGTAAATACTCATGTATAAGCCAAGTTTTTCAGCACATTTTTAATGCAGTTTTTTGTGGTAAAATTAGGTACCTCAGTTGATTTTCAGGTCGGCTTATACTCGAGTATGTACGGTACTTTATATCAAGGAAGCCTTTTTGACTCAAGTCCCTAAGTCCAGGGCTAGCTGGAGTCATTTTCAGACTCACACAGCTACAGGCTGATGATGCAGAAAGGTGAAGCAGAAAACAGGGAGAGCACAAGCCAGTGGGTGCAGAGTCATATGGATCCAAGATTGGTGAAATCAAGGCAGGGCTCTGACAGCTCCCAGGGTTGGTGGCCCACATGGGGCCATCCCTGGAGGCAGACACAGAATCCAAGCAAACAGCAAGGCCCAGGGGCAGGAGAGAGAGGTTCCCAATGTCTCTCATATAAAAAGGCCACAGCCCCCAAGAAAGCATCACCAGGCTACCACCTGATTGATGGAATAGACTCCACCCCTACCACCACATAGGATCATCATGTTGACCTAAACCCTAATCGCCAGAGATAAATTTGGAAGGAAAGGAACACTTCAGGATACAGTTTCTCAATCAGGACAGCTTCTTCTTGCCCCTGCTGCCAGGTCCTCCTGGGACTTTGTTGCTGCTGGGCCCAGCAAGGGCCTTCTGCTGCCAAGTCCTGCGTGGGACTTCTTGGGCAACTACAGCCCTACCATAGTCGTCTTGTGCAACAATGACTCTAGCTTGTGCGTGCCACAATCTCTTGCTGTCTTCCATATGCTATCGCTCTCTCTCGCAGTTTTTGGGACTACAGGGTTCTCAGTGCACTGATTCCAGGTGCTCGGTTTCTGGCTCTTCTTTCTTGGTGGTAGTGAGGGCCGCCCTGCCTGCCTCCAGGACGGCTTAGTGTAAGCCTAACATCGTGGCAATCCCCTCATCAGGGTTCCATACACCTTATTGGCAAGGTCCCTCCCTCACAAGGGTACCATGGATTTTAGTTGCATGATTAGTCAGCTGTTCAATCCCTTGTTTGGGCTACGAGTGCCTTCTTTCAATCACTGGGCATGAACAAGAATTATGATGGCACTACTGATTGTTCTATTTATGAAAACCTGACGAGGCAAAGGAAGATGTAGGTTATGCTCTAGTTGAAAAGGCCTTCCCTGCTGACCAAAATTCAAAACCATAATTTCAAGTATGCTGAGGATAATGAAGACTATATAAAATGGTCAAAAATTATGATCTAAAGCAGCAGTTCTCAACCTGTGGGTCGTGACCCCTTTGGGGGTTGAATGACCCTTTCACAGGGTCACCCAATTCATAACAGTAGCAAAATTACATTTATGAAGTAGCAATGAAAATAATTTTATGGTTGGGGTTGGGGGTCACCACAACATGAGGAACTGTATGAAAAGGTAGTGGCATTAGGAAGGTTGAGAACCACTGATCTAAAGGAAAGAAAAGATATGAAATTTCATATGGTGCTTATTTAAGATTAGATAATTTTTCAAAACATCTATCAAAAGAAGACTGAGCAGAAAACTACTCAAGTATTAACAATTACTAGGACTGGGTGGTGGCAATATGGGTAAAACTTTTCATTGCATTTGCAAAACTTTCTTTAAATGCTGTGTTACTTCTTACAATAAAATATACTTCCTATAAATTTCATATAAAGTAGTGATTAGAAAGAGGTGTACATGTTTATTTTACATACTGTACAGTAACAAAAACTATTATGGATAAAGCTACTTGAAGTAAAAACAGAGTCCTGTAAGTTGCTACTAATTTCATCGTTGACTACCTTCCGAGTACTTCTGTCATCCTCGTCCTCGGATGGATCTGACTGGTGTTTTGGACTGTCCATCTGAAGGAATACTCGGACATCTGGACTGAAAAGAAAAATGAACTTTGTTAGGACTTCCAAGGCATTTTCCCAAAGCGTTCCTCCCTTTTAAAGAAAGCCAAACAAAATCCACTAATATTAATTGTAAAAGAAACAAGGCTAAGTACTTAAAGGTAAGAGATGCCAACAAAGACAAGGGCAGAGGAATGAGTACAGAAAGGAAGATCAACACAGTAAGCAAATATATGAAGACACGAGACGTCACTGGTCATTACAGAAATACACCTGGAAATGACAACGATGTATCATTTAGAATTTTATGTCTATTAAATGGCAAAAATCAGAACACGATGAAACCAAGCCTTGCTAAGAATACAAGGAAAGCAACACCCTCGCACGTTGTTGGAGAGTGTAGAAAAGGTAACTCTCTTAGGCTGCACCCTGGCACTGCCTGGTAGCATGGTGGTGCGTTTGCCCCGAGCCCAGAAATTCCATGTCTATGCCTTGGAAGAAGTACAGTCAGAACACTCCTTGACAGTGAGGAAGGCAAGATTTCATCTCATGTATTTTGGACACGCTATCAGGGCTGACCAGTTGCTGGGAAAGGACATCCTGTGTGATAAAGTAAAAGGTCACCGAAAAAGAAGAAGAGCCTCAAGGAGGTGGGCAGACGCAGTGGCTGCAACACTAGGCTCCACCACAAGAACCGTGCGATGCCCAGGACGAGGCAGTGCTTCGCTCTGTGATAAATGGGGTCACTGTCAGTGGGAACCAACCAACGGCACCTAGAACCACCCCAGTGATAAATCCCAGAAAAACTCGTGCAAGTTCAAGGAAGAACGTGTATAAGGATGCTCATTGTAGCGTTCTCTCCAATAGGAAGTTAGAAACAAAAGAGTCATCTATCATTAGAGAGATGAGAAAATAATCTATGGTCACTGCCTGTCAGAAAGTATCAGGATGTATTCCAGAAACAAAGAACAGGAGGTACTCAGAGTGCATAGAAAGGCCTTAAAAATAGTTTTGCCGGAAAAAAAAAAGTTTTGCTGGAAAACCACATTGAGATCTATATTATAGTATGTGATAGTTAGGTTTATTGTGCCAACCTGGCCAATAGGAACATGTAGGACTAATCAGGTCACAGTTTGATTAGAGGTCAAAGAGATAAATGGTGCTGCAAGGCCACCTCTGGCTCTCTGGTGATCAGAGCAGCATGCTGCTGCTTTAGCTGGTTCTCTGCCTCAACCTGTGAACCAAGCCAACCTGTGCATTGTGAAGCTAGAGCTTGAGGCTCCTTCGAGACCTGAATCCTGCTTCCTGCACACCTGTCGCTTGAGCTTGAGGCTGGTGGAGCCTATCATCTTGCATTGCTTGAGTTTCATATCCCATCGGCATCTGCTTTGCTAAGCTCCCGAGCGACTGCTGTTTGCTGCCTGTGGGTGGACTCTGCCTGCATTGCCCGAGGGAAGACTCGGTTGTCTGCTTCCTTGACCTTGGATCTGGCAGCCCTTGTGAGCTGAAGGACTTCCAGTATATAAGTGTTCCATGAAAGTTGAACTGAGCCCTCTGTCCTGCTGTGTGGACTAATTAGCTGTTATATTCCTTCTTGCTGTATAAACCTATCCATATATACATAAAACTATACATAAAATTAATCATGTGTCCTGGTTTTGTTTCTCTAGAGAATCCTACCTAACACACAGTACTTTATATATATATAAACAAAAGGTCCAAAATTCATTCTAAAATTTCCCAAGTTAAACACATTAAGGAACATATATAAAATATATTAAAAGTGGGTATCAGCAGCGATGAAGAAATGAAAAGAAAAACATGGATTTAAATAAAAGAGGGGCTTTGAATGGATTAATGATGATCCTGAAGAATGATTAAATCTCTGCACCTGAGCACCTCCTGTGTCAGTCCGAGTAGACTAGAAACACAAATTCATAGACACTCATATGTGTATAAAAAAGAGCTTTATATACAAGAGCAATTGAATATTGAGAAAACATCCCAGGCCAGTCCAGATCAAGTCCATAAGTCTGATATTAGCTCATATGTTTGATACCAATCTATAGTCCTCTTCAGACTCACAAACCACATGCAATGACACCGACTGCAGGAAGATCATAGGCCAGTGGGTGGGAAGTCTTGTGGATCCAATGGCAGCGTAAGCATCTCAGCACTGGCAGGGGTCTCCATGTGGCTCCTCCAGCTCAAGGAACTAGCATAGCTTCACGTGTCTTGTCAGCAAGCATGCCTAGCAGGGAGTGTCCCACCTCCAGCAAGCTATTTATCTCCTTAGCACCTCCAAATGAGGTCACCAAGCTGCGACCTGACTGACAGATAAACTCCACTCCTTCACTCATAAGTCTCAAACTGACAACAGATTATGTAACTACCATACTCCCCATCCAAATTGGTCGCAGTAATTAAATACAAACACTATATATTCCTTGTAGAAACCATGGGAAAAAGAAAAAAAAGTTTTTAAGGTTCTGTTAGTCTGGGTAAACTAGGGAAACAAATCCACAGGAACTTATATGTATGAGAGAGTTTTAATATAAAGGGTACATTAAGAAAGCATCCCAACCCAGTGCTGTACAAGCCCATAAGTCCAACATTAGCCCATATGTCTGATACCAATACAGAAGGTCCTCCTCCATCTCACAAAACACACGCAATGACGCTGACTACAGGAGGAAAGCTGAGTCAGTGAATGTGTAAGCATCTCAGCACTGGAACGGTCTCCACATGGCTGCTCCAGCACCCAGGGCTGCATCGGGGTAGGTCCATGTGGCTTCTCCTCAGGGATGTCTTGCAGGAAGTGAGCCTTGCCAGCTGAAGCAGGGAATTGGCTAAGGCAGGCTGACTAAAGCAGCTGCACCCTGGTCTAACCATCAGAAGGCAAGAGACCCAAGAACTAGAAAGGCGAGGCTCACTGAGCCATTTATCTCTCTGCCTTTCATTTAATCCCACAGGTATTTATCAGCCAGGTTGGCACAATAAACCTTAACTATCTCAAGGATAGGGTCTATGAGGAATGGTAAATGGTGCAGAGTCTATGGCAAGCAGTTTGTTAGTTCCTCAAATTCATTTCCATGCCTGGGTATGTTGTTTTTGCTAGTTTTTATAAAGTCAGTTCTGTCTCACAGCAACCCTATGCATAACTGAACAAACCCCTGCCCAGTCCTGGGCGACCCCTACAACTGTTCTACAATTTCCACAATTGTGTCAATTCATCTCATTGAGACTCTTCTTCTTTTTCACCAGCCCTGCACTTTACCAAGCCTGATGTCCTTCTCCAGGGGCTGAAAGTCTCTCCTGAAAACATGTCCGAAGTGTGTGAGATGAAGTCTTGCCAGCTTCACGTTCAAGGAACATTCTGGCTGTACTTTTTTCATGCAGATTTGTTTGTTCTTTTGCCAATTCACAGCACTTTCAATATTCTTTGCCAGCACTATAATTCAAATACATTGATTCTTCTTTGATATTCAACAATTCAACTTTGCATATAAGGCAATTGAAAATACCAGTACTTGGGTCAGGCACATCTTAGTTTTCAAAGTGACATCCTGCCTTTTCATACGTTAAAGATGTCTTGCGCAGATCTGTCTAATGCAATGCCATTTGATTTTGGGACTGATACTTCCATGAGCATTGACTGTGGATCCAAAGATGATGCAATATTTGACAAAGTCAATCTTTTCTTTATTTATCATGTTACCTACTTGTCCCATTGTGAGGATTTTTGTTTTACTTACATTAAATTGCAATCTACACTGAAGGCTGTCCCAGAAAACCAAGAAGAGGTGCTCAAGTACGTCTTCATGAATGTTCATAGCAGCACTATTCACAATAGCCAAAATACAGAGACCCAAATGTCTGTCAACTGATGAATGGACAAATAAAATGTGCTATGTGCAGATGATGGAATATTTGGCCTTTACCTTTATGTTAAATGAAAAAAAGATTGATAGACATATTGCATGACTCCATGTACACACAATTCCCAGAATAGGCAAACCCGAGTGTGGATTAGTGGTTGGCAGGAAACAAAGGAAGGTGGGGCTGAGAAAGCTAGGATTTGGTTTTGAAGTGATGGAGGTACTCTGAAATTAGTGATGATGGATGCAACCCCAAACCCACTGAACTTTTACATGGGGAAATCTATCCGAGAACAAAATTTCCCCCCAAAGGAGGAAGAAAGATCTTGGTATCTACTACATAAAAAGATACTACCATTATTAACATTTTGGAATATTTCATTTCAATCACTATGCCAGTCCCATCTCCTTGAGGATCTTTCTAGTTTTTGCTGACCTCTACTTTATCAAACATGATGTCCTTCTCCAGGGACTGTTCCCTCCTGGTAACCTAATTCAAGTACATTAGATGAAATCTCACCACCCTCACTTCTAAAGAGCAAGCATTTTGACCCTACTTTGGGCAGCCCGTGGTATACTTTATATTCTTTGTTAACCTGCGTCAGAACCTACTTCCTGTGGAACCACAAGAATGGAATGCCATCTAAATGTGTTCCTAGATATTCATGATATGGCTAGAATTTTATTTATAATTAGATATATAGGTAGGTAGGTAGGTAGGTAGGGCATATATGTGTGAAGTAGTCTAAAAAGAAAATTTAAAAAAATAAAATAATAAAGGAAAACAAAAGTGAGCTAGCTGAAGCACTTCCCAGAGTTCCTCTGCCTGTATGTGACTGTGACCACCGTGTCCTTCAAGGCACAGATATGAACATGAAGTAATTTAACAGTGTTTTCAGACTCACCACTGAAGGACCACATTTTGAAACAATTATTCTAAAAGCATTGACTATATGTGTAGTTTTCTCACACATCTGGGATCACCAAAACCAAAAATAGTTGAGTTCGTCAATAGCCCATTTCCCTGCCCCCCCCCCCAGTTAATCCCTTCGTGATCTGTGGGACAGACCAAAAAACTACCATGAAATTGATTCCAACTCACAGCAACCGTAGAGGCAAGGCACAACTGCTGCCCTGGGCTTCTGGGACTGTAACTCTTAACTGGAGTAGCAAGTCTCATCTTTCTCCCACAGAGTGGCTAGATGGTTTAAACTCCTGACCTTCTGATTAGCAGCCCAATATATAATCCCCTATGCCATCATGTGGCATCCCACATATATGGGACTACAGTTAAAAAAAACAAAACCACACACACCGCCACTGAGTCGATTGCAACTCAGAGCAGCTCTACACAGGGTTTCCCAGACTGTAAATAAAATGTTTTCCTCTCTCTCAGAAAGGCTAGTGGTTTGGGGCTACATCCCTCCTGCCTCCCCCCAGTATGAATTTTGTTACAATTAGTAGGACATATAATGTCCCAAAGGGACCCTAGTGGCAAAGTGGATTATGAAATGGGTTGCTAACTGAAAGGTCAACAGTTCAAACTCACTAAGTCATTTTTTACTCCCATAACAATTTATAGCCTTGGAAACCCATGGGGGCAGTTCCATTTTGTCCTGTAGGGTTGCTATGAGTCAGAATCAATCAGATGGCCGTGAGCTTTTGTGGGGTTTTTGGTATCCATCCCAAGAGGGCCTCTGCTACTGGGGTTGGTAGGATGCGGCCATTACAGACCTCCATGAGATAGCAGCATGCACTGAAAGTGGGAGACTGCTTCAAGTAACCCTGGGGGTCAGCAAAAACTAGGAAGATCCTCGAGGAGATGGTGTGGCAGTTATATAATCTCCTGACAACCTGAACGAAGGAGGGGAGTCTAGTCTGTCAATCAGGTCATAGCCAATGAGGCCTATGTGTGGGCATGGCCTTCTCCTGAGAATTTTGGAAACTCCTGACTTCTGCCCTGGAGGTGGGACACACACTCTGCTTGTCTTCCTGCTGACAAGCTACACGGTGCTATGCTGATGGAACCAGAGCTTTGGAGCTGGGGGAGCCATGTGGAGACCCATGCCAGCACTGAGATGCTTCCACTGCCACTGGATTCACAAGTCTTTCCACCTACTGGCCTGTGATCTTCCATTGCATGTATTGCGTGAGTCTTAAGAGGAACTTTATGAACTGGTGTCAGAAATAGGGGCTAATATCGGACTCACGGACTAGATCTGGACTAGGCTGGGATGTTTTCTTAATATACAATTACTCTTTGATATGAGTGTCTATGAATTTGTTTCTCTAGTCAACCCGGACTCACACAGATGGGATTGGAACAGTGGCTCCAACAATAAACTCACACACAGTAATGATTGTGAGGATGGCACGGGAGAGCATGTAACACAACAACAACAAAACAGCTACAGCAACAATGTCTGTCTCGCCTCTGAAATTGGAAAATCAGGCTCCTGGAAGGGGAGGTACAATACTTTTATGTTTGTATTCACAATGCACAAAGAATACTTCATCAATATTTTTGAATGCATATAACATCACATAATGAGCAAAGTGCTTTAACTATGTAACATGCACATTTATTTCACATTTAATCTGTAAAACTAAGTGCAAAAGGAAGACTTTACCTAGAGCCTTAAAGTGATGGAGAAAAAAGGAGATGATAAATATCAGGGGGAAAGTGTTGGAGGAAATTTTTACAAACATATTTAGCATGTAACATTCCATAGATATCATATAGGTAAGTCAAAAAGTATTGCTACTGGGGGTTCCAGTTCATACACGCACAAGCTTATTTCAGACAAAATGTGTTTACACATGTCTTTGTGCTCACTGGATGGCCGCAAACAAGTTCTCTCCAGAATGCAGTTAGATTCACTAAAGGGTGCCTTTTTTCTAAAAAGGATATTTTTGTGCCATGGACAAATATCTTTTTTATGTCAGGGATAGTATCAAAATGTTAACAAAACTGAAGTGGGCATCTTTTCAAATCATTGCAACCTTGCAACAAGTTTATGGGACTACTGTCTCAAATAAAAGACACTTTTTCAATGGACCAAGTGTTTCAAGGAAAGTTGGGAAGACCTCAAAGACGAGCCAAGAGAGGGAAGACCATCCCCTTTGACAAAGAAATGACAGCTCACTCCCAGAGACTGGAGGGAGAAGGACAGACATAGCGAAGCTGGGATCTCACACGGGTCACGCTTTCCATTTCAAGTGACCCTCATGGTCTCAGCAAGCCTTTGGCTTCACAGATGTCAAAAGCAGTGCAGGGAACCATTAGCTAGCTCAAGGAGCTGACCTTTCCATCAGTCCCAAGGTGAATAAAAATGAATTAGAGAACCAGCCATAACCAGGGACGAATCTTGAATTTACCAATACAATCCAGAGAACCGGGTCCAGTCAGAACAGTGGCTACACGGGGGATCTGAGCCAGTTCAAAGCAGGCAGGGCCGGCTCAGAGGACGATGGCACCTGTTTCCAGGATTCCCAAGGGGTAATCGTGATAAGATTTTCTCCAAGGACATAGGATGATGACGGAGATTTATCAGAAAGAAGTTTTAAGAAAACAGAAACCTGCATTGCTGAGAAAAAGGCCAGGAAAATTGCACTAGTGGGTTTTCCCCACCACAGCAATGCCCCTGCTCATTCTTCAAGGGTAGCAAGGACTGGCTGACCTATGAGAATTTCCTTGGGAAACCTCACCCTATCCAACATACACACTGGTCTTGCCCCTTCAGAATTATTTTCCTTATTTTTTTACAAAACTCAAAGAATACTGAAAGGGACCACGATTTGAATTCCTTGAGGATGTCCCAAGTGCCGAGCTGATGTGGTATGAATTGAACAGTGCAGAGTTCTTGGGGGAAGGGCTAGAGAGATGCTGAGACACTGCCGTCAGAAAGGAATAGACCTACAGGGCAGAGA